AGGGGTAGCGCGCTCGCCTGGCATGCATGTGACCTGGGTTTGATCCTCAGCACTACATACCAACAAAGATGTTGTGTCCGCCGAGAACTAAAAAATAAATATTAAAAATTCTCTCTCTTTCTCTCTCTCTCTCTCTCTCTCTCTCTCTCCTCTCTCGCTCTCTCTTTAAAAAAAAAAGAGTGTTAAATAGCATTTCAGTGTTTCCAATATCTATCCAAGTGTAGTAGGGACTATACTTTCCCACTTCAATATCTGTTTCTTGTGATTCAGATGTCGGGAATCTGAATGTTGATATTGCTGCTTCCAACACCATACCACAGCTGTCTCTCACAGCCAAATACAAGTCATGGAACCCTGTAAAACTGACTCCAGGTATAGTGAATGGGTAGAAACCATTCATATTGCGTAACCTAGTTTACAAGCACAAGCAACAGCAAGAACACACCTTTGATTTCTCATCTACCTTCCAATGTTCACGTGTGTTTCTAATTAACAGAGTCAAATTTGCCTCCCAAGCACTGACTCACTCTGAGAATCCAGGAGAAGATTTTAGCTCTATGATCTCTAACAACCAGAATTAGAGCCAAGGTCAGGAAAGCCAATCATAATATCCACCTCACAATGTATTCAAATGCCATTTCTCCAGTTTGTTCCTGAAATTTTGCTAGCTACAAATAAGTGTTCTTCCCCTCCTCTGTACTGGTAGTTTTCAACCCTCACTGAACAGTAAAACCACTTAAAAACTGAAAGATTCTTAGTTTTCATCTCTGCCTCCAAAAATTGATTTATTGGTTTGGGATTCGGGTGATGCACCTTAGAAATTTTAGAAATTCTTCTAATGGGTAGAAACACAGCTCAAAATGTTTATAACTTTTCATTTCTCCTTATCACTTTTTAACTTTAGTGATATATTAAAATGTTCTACTCTTCCTACTAGATTATAAACTCTCTAGAGATGGGATGTGAGTCTAATGCATTTTTACAGCCTTCACAGCTTCCAGCAGATTACTTTGCAAATAACATATACTTTACATGTTCATCAAATACTTGAATAAATGAATAGTGTGTGCCTTGCAAGAATATTAAAGATAAAAAACCCAGCATCTAGTCCTTGTCTCTCTCCTGCTTGACATGCCCTTGAGTTATGAAATCTATTCTGCTAAGCATAGTAAAAATGCAAGTGGATAGACCGATCATGCATTAGCCTTCTTAGCATTAACRCACTATAAAATATAACAACACAAATTTATGTTTTGTTTAAAAAAATAATTCCTAAGCAACATTCTTGGATATGGAAACTATTGCCAATAAACTCACATTCTTTTAGGTAGAAATCTAAAAATACAAAGGAAGGACCTGGAAAAACAAAGCCCAGTCTATTTTTGCTGATTTCTGAACTGTTCTTTCCTCACAGGTTCTTTTGATATATTAGTGCATCTCTAAATCAATATTCTAAAACCACCATATGAACCATATGATAAAAATTCTGATCTTTACAAATTAACATTTAGATCCCTGAGACAAAAACTACATAGTCCTCCTCCTCTTTCCTATATACCTGTTAGGTAATGATCAAAAACAGATCTTGACCTGCCTTCTAGATACTGTTATTCCCTGAATACTTAAAAATGTTTACATTAGGGATAAAGAAGAAAAGAGAATGCAAATGATAATTAGAAAAGAATTGGGTTTTAAAAATGACTTAGGGGCTGGGGCTGTAGCTCAATGGTAGAGTGCTTGCCTCATACATATGAGGCACTGGGTTCAATCCTCAGTACCACATAAAAATAAATAAGGATATTGTGTCCATCTACAACTAAAAATATTTTTTTAAAGTGACTTGGTTGGGAAAAAAAAAATCATACTCTTGTGTTTTGGATATGAGATTCCCCGCAAAGCTCATCTGTGAGATGATGCAAGAACATTCAGAAGTGAAATGATTAGATTATGAGAGTTGTAACCTRACCAATTGGGTGGTAATTGTAGGCAGGTAGGGAATGGTTGGAGGAGATAGGTCACTGGAAATACGCCTTTGGGGTTTATATGTTGTCCCTGGTGAGCGGAGCCCACTTTCTCTGCTTCCTGATTTCCATGTCCTGAGTTGCTTTCCTCTTCCACACCATTCCACCATGGTATTCTGCTCAGGCCAAGAGCAACAGAGTCAGTCATCTATGGACTGAGACCTCTGAAATAGCAAGCACCAAATAAACTTCCTCCTCTAAGACTGTTCTTCTCCGGTCTTTTGGTCACAGCAGCAATAAGCTGATTAAAACACTTTATCTCTCTTCCCCATTTAAAGGTCCAAAGAGCTTTAAAAGGCTTTGAAGTTTCAAGGTCTTCCTTTATCCTTAAAATACCCAGGTGAGAATCTGACCTCAAGACTACCATTATCCAGCTTCAGATGAGATTCTATGTCATTCTCCCACTATCTTTCTTCTTCCTTGATACAATGAGAGTGATTTCTTCCTTCCTTCCCTCCTCCCTTCCTTCCTTCCCTGCCTCATCCTTTCTACCCTTTCCTCCTTCCTTCCTTCCCATCAGATTTCCAATAGTTTAATTTCCTTAAAGTCTTCCTAGGGAAGTCTCTCCTTACTTCTTTTAGTTCCCTATGAATTCTACATGATTTTAATAGAATTTGTTCACCTACAGTTATAATGTTTATATAGTTATGACACCTGTAATTTTAAGAAACTCAGTGTGTTCTCTTCCTCAATTCCATCCACTATCATTAAGGTAAGTAATATGGAAGCTAAGAGAACAGAGACTTCTTGAAGGCAGAGAGTTCAATACCACTGAGCAAACATTCAATAACTGTTGACATGAACCAATGCCTGCTGTCACTGTACAGTCCCATAAATGCAAATTTACAAGGTTTTGATTAGTGGACCTGATTCTGCTTTCACCCTGCCCAACTCCCTGATGTTGCAGTAACAAAACAGAATGGAATAAGAAGAGATCTTTGCCTTTTAAAAAATGAAGACATGTGTTCCATTTTATTAAGAATTTCCTATGGAGCAAAGCATATTAGGATGGAGATAAAGGAAGGACCAAATGGCCTTATATTTAGAATTCTGACCTAATCACTAAATGAGATCAGGCATTATGACACTGTAGTGCTTAAAGTGTTGTTTGAAATAAACCATTGAAATACTACCACTTTGGGGTTCTTTTGTTTGTTTTGTCATGTAATACASAAAATGTCTCACAAAATGGAAGGGGTCTGGTAGTTCCCAACCGCTGAGAGGCCATTCTCATGGTGCTATTTTATACATTTAAAATTAAATATTAATAATGAAAATGACATGTTCCATATTAAGTAATGAAAGTCAAAGCTACCTACCTTATCTCACTATTGGAATAAACATTGATCACTGGGAATATGAAGAAAAGTTTTATTTTAAGAATTTCCCAGAGAATCTATTTTCCTTCTGTTTCCAAGCCCTGGGTAGCCCTTTGAGTGTGTTTGTATTCACTAGGAAGGGACATTTCTGTGGAATTAATCAAATAGGGAATTCAATGTTCCTTGCAGATAATTTTGGTCATGTCCCATTGGGGACTTTCTAGTCTGAATTCTTATCTTTCCTGGGAAAAGACTCACATGTTCCTAATCCTCATTCTTTTCTCCACTTATAGTGAAGGACAATGTAGTAAAACTGTCATTCAAAGAACTAATGACAATGTGCATTCAGCAAGACACTCTGGGGGAACTTCGTCACTAAAATGAGGCAAAATTTATGAGAATAAGATGTAAAATGTACTAACTACAAATGAGCACCAAAAATACTTTTAGAAAGCATCATTATAATTAACCTATCTTCTAGTTTTGCTAAAATTTTAAGAAGTTTCTAGATTGGATAATTAGAAAACATTCACAAGTCCTAATATATCCCAGCAAATCCAGAAATCATAAATCCCATCTTCAAAAGGAAAATTAGTGCTACTGCTTTTGATAATAATGAAATTTTCATGTTAAATGTCTAGTTTAAAACTTGAAATCTACATATTCTGTTTCTTAATGTTTTTTTTAATTTATAAAATAATTAGGATTCATAACCTAGCCCTGGCTTTGTGTTCCATGAGCTTTTATTGTGGAAGATGCTGCTGCTGCTTTTATTCATACCATAATATGCGTTAATTTAACTCTATGTCTTGAAGAAGCCTATGGCTGTTCTCTACCATTAAAAGCTTTACCTGCAATTCTACATCTGTGCTTTTGCTAGAACCTAGTCCAAGACCTAGGGCTGGGACTAAATGCTACCTACTGAGAAGGTTTTTGGTCAGCTTGGTGTGGGACATTTGCATGGTGAAGTCAAGGACATTAAAGTTAGCAGAAACCAGTTTGGGGAGTCGTGGGCATATTTAAGGCGGTTGAAGCCACAGGTAAGTAAGGATGTCCTAACAGAGGGTTATGGTATAGGAAGACCTTAGGATTAATGTGCAGAGCCCTTCCTAGATACCCAATAAGGAGTAAATAAATGAACTAGATAATGGAAATGGACTAGAAAATGGCAAAGCACTTTTATTAATTTCTCTTTAAGTCTAAGTCAAAAAGACTGTTGTCATCTACATCAAACTTCACCTCCACACCTCCAGAATTCTCCCAGACAACGAGTGATGAAAGTTTGTAAAAACCCTATCAACAGGTCATGTGTATTATGCTTGAGGTAAAGCCATCCTATGTAAACACACATCATATTCTTATTGATGTACATATTAGCTCATGATTACTACAGTATGTTTTTTGGTTTTTTTTTACAATCTGCCTGTTGGCTTGATGTTTTTATTTTTTTTTCTTAAAAAACACACAAGAACTGCCAAGATGAAAGAGTAGCCATTCCTAAATCACTCCAAATGTCACCATGACTACAAACATAATTTTCCTAAATCAGTAGATTTGTGCTCAAGAAATAGAAATTCATTCAAGTGTTGGATTCACACTGTATTGTCATTTATAAACAGAATTTTACTTTTGTGTGTAAGAATCATTTTCTTATTCACAGGATCAAACCAAAATGACGACTGCTCAATTTGATTGTCAATACTGCACAGCCTCACTTCTTGGGAAGAAGTATGTACTAAAGGATGATAATCCATACTGTGTTTCATGTTATGATCGTATCTTTTCTAACTATTGTGAGGAATGCAAAGAACCAATTGAATCAGATTCCAAGGTATGTCTCACCTCAATTCACATAAAAACTGATTATAAGCAGCAAATGCTTCGAAATGCCTGATTCTATTAGTGTTGACTTTTAGCTCTATTTTCTTAATACTTTATGTAAGGGTTTTTTTTATTTCCTTATACTTACATAAGGATTAATTAGTTGTCACTAATGAAATTCCAGTCACGACACTTAGCACTGTGAAATATAGCATGTGCTTCAATCTTTACATGGTCTTGTGAGGTTGTGTTTTAGGACGATAAACATTAAAAAAGTTAAGCTATTTCCCCCAAAGTCCCACAGCTAAAATATTGAGTTATTTCTGAAATAACAAGTGTATAAATAAATATATAAATAATTGAGGTGTAAAGATGGAAAATTAATACTTTCCAACTTAAAAATCAACCTCAGCTCCACTAAACCCCACAAGATTTGGAAACCTCCCTTTATACCACCCCTTCTTAATGCAATGCTCACTGATTACCATTATCTTCTTCCTTCCTTCCTTCCTTCCTTCCTTCCTTCCTTCCTTCCTTCCTTCCTTCCTTCTTTCTGTTTCTCTCCTTCATCATCATTTTCTTAACTTTGCTTTTATTAGGTGGTATTATTTGTATGCTTATTTAGTTAGTTAAATCTCAACGTGTAATGGGAAAAAATTAAAAACAATTCCTGAAAAATCTCTAGCACTATGCAAAAGGAAACTGGGGAAAATAGGAAAAAATAGCAGAAAGTCAGTGTATTTTCCAGCTCCTTTAGTGACCAACCAAGAAACACCCAGACTGTAGCTCATAATTACTCCACAGTCTCTTCACTATAGATAACAGTATCAATAACAACTTTCCCTCAAGCTAGTAGAACAACCTACTGGCACTAGAGTCCCATGAGTGTTCAGTTTTGTCTTATAAAATGGCCTTTATTGCAAACACATTTAATTAACTTTTATTTACTGTCTCAAAGGATCTTTGTTACAAACAAAGGCACTGGCATGAAGGATGCTTCAAGTGCACCAAATGCAAACACTCTCTGGTGGAAAAGCCTTTTGCTGCCAAGGATGAGCGCCTGCTGTGCACAGAGTGCTATTCTAATGAGTGCTCCTCTAAATGCTTCAAATGCAAAAGGACCATCATGCCTGGTAAGATCTCCTGGGAGCGCTGGTGTCTAACCAAAGCTGCAGTGTTTTTCATTAAGGGCCACAATGTGCCCTATTACAGCAGTTCACAAAGCCTTGGGTTTGAGAAAGACATTTTCTTCCTCACTTGATCTCAATTTCATGTACTTTACAAAATAAAAAGGTGGTTCATTTATTATCCTTGAACAGGTAAATTAGTGTTCTGTGTATTTTAATAAGAACTGATTCATAGATAACATTTTCGAGCAGAACCTGAATAAATGGTGAGTTTTGTTGTTGTTGTTTGTTTTGTTTGTTTTTTAATAACACTACTTAAACACATTGCCCTGGACATAACAAATGTTCTAAGGAAGAAAAAAAAAAATCTGCCAGAGGAGATTGGGGCCAACTATCGTGTTGTAACTCTACCCAAGCTGGTTCAGGGATCAGTCTTCATTGTTTCTTTTAGGGAAGACAAGTCTCTATGTAAATCATTCCACTTTTGACAAGCGTGAATTCATTATATTTTGGTCCTTTACTCTCTATGGACAGCAGCGTAAGACCTGAAATTCTTTCTCTCTGTCTCCTCCTTCCTTCCCTTCTTTCCTCCCCCATTCTCTCTTTTACACACACACACACACACACACACACACACACACACATTTTCTTATTATGGATTCAAATAATTTTAGAGGCTATAACTATACAATATAAATCTTGGGGGTTGTGCCCTGGGCATTTCTAATATCCTTGTAATTATTATTATGACCCAATTTATCTAAACCATGTGCAGCCATTCCTATTCTCCATTTAAAATACTTTAACATCTCTAAATTGTGCCTTATGCAGTCCTTGGAGGAGTTTTCAGTGAAAGAATAATTCATTGTCATCAAGGCTGAACTGTATTAACTTTTCTTTCCCCAGATGGATGTTTTCTGACAGAATGTAATTTTTATGAAAGGACAATTCGTTTTTCAACTTGGTATTTAAAATATGTATTTTAAGTAATTTGATCTACACTTACCTAAAGAAAATAAAACCATGCCTGACTAGTACTAACAGGTTCTTACTTTTGGATTTCATAGGTTCTCGCAAAATGGAGTTTAAGGGAAACTACTGGCATGAAACCTGTTTTGTGTGTGAGCTTTGCCTACAGCCAATAGGCACAAAGCCCTTGATCTCCAAAGAGAATGGAAATTACTGCCTGCCATGTTTTGAGAAGAAGTTTGCTCATTACTGCAACTTTTGCAATAAGGTAATTATCTAAAGAGGATGAAACTTGTAGAAGCTTCTGTATCATTGCTTTTTTTTTTCTACATGATATATTTGGAATGAACTGTTACAGTCATATCTGTCTAATACATTCATATTAGCTATGAATTCCAACATGCACAAAACCACTCTCTGTCAGCGAGGATGTCCACCTATATTTTATCAGCTATAAAATTTCATCCAGAACATGAATTTAATTTTCTAGTGGTTCAAGTGATTTGACATTCCAGTTGCATTCACTGCTTCTATAAACGAGTTCATGCATTCTGAGAGACAGTACATTTCTCTTTGAATACAAAATTCTTAGGAAATAATTTTTGATCCTTTCAGTGTTAACTGTTTCAGAGGAATATGGACTTGCTTCACAGAGTGACTGAAGAACCAAATTAGATAAGATCTTAACTCCTCACATTGTGCAATGCAAATGTCTTCTTGGTTTGAAGCTTTGGCATTTTCAAAGAGTAGGTTTGTGGAGATCTTAAGGGGAATTCGATAAAGATGAAAACACCAACAAAACTAAGAGCTTCAAGTTCTTTTACTTCCAGTTTCAGTGTTGCATGCAGGGAGTTGGTTCCCCATGAAAAGTATATTTTCCAAGGAGGAAAACAAGTCATTTTTCAGAGGTAAACTTTGTCCAACTCTTCTTTATCCTCTATATTTTTATGTGGAAAGTGGCTCACATCTCTAATCTTGATGAAACCTGTCCATATTTCATAACATATTTTTATATTCTCAAAGTAAGTCTTGGTCTGTGAGACGTTACAAGTTTAAAATGACACTATAAATTACAATGAGAAAGTTGATTCATGAAAACAYTTCGGATTGGTATACTGGTTCCTAAATATTTTAGGCAACGTTGTCAGTTCTCTTAAGACCATTTGTATATTTGCATCTGGATATCTGGGTCTCATTACCACCTACAGGTGCATATACACACACATATGAACACACATACAGTAATTTTCTACATATATTAACAATACCAATACTACATTTATATTTAAATAAATATACTCTCCTAAGTTGTAATTATTGAATTATATTATAATGATGATTGAAAATTACAATGGATAGTAATATTATATGAAATCGTCTAGTACTCAAAGAAACACTGACAGGAAATGTTTCAAGCAGTGGTCAGATCCTATGACTCCATTGAATTACCAGAGTCAATGACATAAATTTAAAAATAGATGCTAGAAATAAAATGAGTAGGTTTAACTAAGTGTTTTGAAAGACAACTAAGTAGCCAATTTAGGTTTGCTTTCTTAAAGACTTAGACTAAAATATTAATGGAATTTGTGAGAATTATCTTAAAATTTGTTGGGCAATATGAACGTTCTTTCAATACTGCTGTAAAGATTCAAGATAGGAACTTCTGTCATAATTCAGGGCTGAATACAGTTTGGGATGCAGCATTGGTGCTTCCCAGGTTATAGGCAGCTGTGACTATATTTAGAATGTTATTCAAAGTCATCAAAAATTTATGAAATGTTTATGTTGGATAATAGATAGGTCATGGCATGCCAGATTATTTTCTGTTTAACTTTTAAAACTACAAGTTCCATAAGGAAAGCTGGATGTAAATGTTTTTGATCAAAGCTAAAGAAAAGCAATTTTTTTTTCAACCCAAACCAAAGACCACATGGTTTTTAGAAACAAAAAACTACTTGACAACCAGGCCTTTAAACTTTTTCAACATATTTTATTTTGTCACACTAAATTTATTTTCCTCTAGAGAGCAACTGACCTCAAACCACAAGTGCTTTGAATTCAAATTTCTCAGAGTTCAAATAGAGTTAAATATGTTCAACTCTTGCTTTGGTATCTATGGCATGAAAAATCATCATTGCCTCCACTTCTCCAGAGAAAAAACTTATTATAAATCATGGAATCAGTCAGTGGCCAAAACCAAGCTTAAATATTAGACTTCATCTTAGTTCACCTCTCTCTTCAAAAGAAATGTAATCACAAGGAAATGATTTTTAATGTTCCAGAGTTTCTTCTCCCTAATTAAATAGACCTTGGTGTATATATCAAGTTTTATTTTGCTGTGAATACATTTTCCAAGTTTTAAATCTTTTAAGCATTGCCTGCTAATCATTTGACCAAACAAATCAAAGGCATCATGATTTCTGCTGTGCCTGCGGTAAGGCATTTGAAGTCAGTAGGGGGTATTTTAAATTGCTTTACTTCACACACACCATTATACTTTCATTTACTTATTCAGAATAGTAAACTTTTTTCCTTTAGGAAAAACAACTTTTATGTCAAGTATCTTTAATTTCTAAGATATTTATTATAAGTTTAAAAATATCTTTAGAATATTTTTTCAAAAGCCTTACATGATAGACAAACAACACTTGAGTTTGTCAACAATAAAATGACTTAAACTATCTTCAATATGAGTTAATTCTAATACAAAGACTGTAGGCCATCTCTGATATCATATTGTTTCATTCTTTATAAAACATGTACAGGAACATATTCCAATTTCCTCAGCAATTCTWGGAGTTCAATGACCACAAATTTGAAAGATGATGACTTCAAAGTAACTACACAAGAAGAGTTGCCTAATATTTACCCATCTGATTCTGATAAATATATTTAAAGTTTTTAAGAAGTTGAATCCTTGGATTAAATTGACTAAGAAAAACTATATTATCTTATGAAGAACTAATAAGCATCTTTGGCCAAACCCTATCATACCCTAAGGCTCAATATATAGTGAGTGCCATTATTTGAATCCTGAAGCTAAAAACACATACCCTACAACATCTTGTGCTAGATACAATATTAGAATTGTTTTCCGAAAGTTTTATTGTTGTTGTTGTTGTTGTTGTTTTTAAGTATTCATTCCACAAGATCTTATCAACTGCTTACCCATGCAAAATAACCTCAACTCCAAATGGTATTAATGCTTATGTACACAGGTTGTGGGGTCAGACTGTGCAGGTTTGAATGCTGTCTCCAGGAAATGTAATTTAGCGACTTTAACTCTTGGTTCTTGCTCATCTGTAAAAGGGGTAAAGATGATAGTCCCCACCAAGCAGAGATGTTGAGAATATACAAAGAGGCCACCTCTTAGAACAGTACTGAGGACCTCAAAACAATTAAGAAATGTAAGTCATTAATAGCAAATGACGATATTTACCAATTCCATCCAGGATTTCTACTGTCAGATATTCTTGACCCTAGTACAAAGCTTTCAGGAAAAAGTAGATGTTTTTCCTCAGATCCTTACAAATTAGATATTGATGTAAGAACATAGTATAGAACTATCTTAACTCTGATGGCAAAGCTAAGAAAACTCAAAGGAAGATGAGGTGAATCAAACACCTATTTCTTTTCATCTTCTTGAGTCCAAAAAGGCCATGCCATTTTTCTGACCCATTGGTTGAGAAAAATTAGAATAATTTTCATTTTTTTACCAATCCTATTTAATTGATATAACATTTGATTTCATAAATTGACTCAAAAAAAATCACAGAAGTTTTAAGGAAAATAAAATCCTAAATCAAGCAGGTAGAGTATCAGTTGTGGACATAGAATGACATCATGAAAAGGTCTAACATGCAGTGGAGACCACACTCATTGACTTTTTTTGAAATCCTTTGGCAGGTGATATCTTCAGGTGGGATAATGTTTCATGACCAGCAATGGCATAGAGAGTGTTTTCTGTGTAGTGGCTGTAGGAAAGAGCTTTGTGAAGAAGAATTTATGTCCAAAGATGATTATCCATTCTGCATGGACTGTTACAACCATCTTTATGCCAAAAGGTGTGCAGCATGTACCAAACCCATTACTGGTAAGTTCTCCAGTTCAACATGGTACCACCATAAGACAGTTATAACTACATAAAATGTTACCTAGTTAGTTTAGGAAATATAAGTAAAAATTCTAAATCTTTCATTATACTTTTGTATTTCCTTTCCTTTTGAGCAAACACAACTGAGGTACCTACCATTTATAAATTCAAATATTAAATGGACCCCTCAAGGAAATTACAGGGTAGAATTTAGATAACTATGCTCTTCAAAAGAAATTAAACACTACCCTAATGGTACAGATTTTAAGTAAAGTCATAGTTTGAGGAACGAGAAAATAGGATGAGATATGAGGTCAGAGAAGACGTTAAATGAAGAGTCCTGATTTGAGTCTCATTAAGGATTTGAGTGGGAGGAAAGAGTATAATAAATCAGAATTCTGCCTTTATTCCAAACATAGCCAAGAAGAATTAAGATACAGAAGTTTTTAATTAAGTACAATATTCTATAAAATATCTGAAACTGCTATGATTAGGAAAGCATAGGTCAGGAATGAACTAAACTTCATTTTAACATGCTTCTAACAAATACATTACTCTCTTTTCTCTCCATTCACTTGCAACAAGTTGAAATTATGAACAGATGAAAGAAAAACAATATTGCTCTCTACTAAAGAAACAAGATACATGAGATATGATTTGAAAAATGACATCAATGATAAATTGATCCATGTTAAATAGGTTTTCAAGGTTTAAAAAAATGCATTATATTTTCCTCAGCCATCTCTAAACTGCTAATCCTATAGTAAGGGAACTAAAGCTAGCAGGATACTTAAGAAACCAGCAGCTACTTTTTGAAGCAATTTATCRTCACTTAATAATGTGACAGAACTATATTCTGCTCTCCATTCTTAGACGATATTTCATTTTTTTTTAGTTCAGATTATATAACAAGAGAATTAAAGATGATGCTATCCCTTTCCTCCTCCTCCTCCATTTTCAAATAAATATAACAAAACAAAAGTTGATTCCATTTTGTATAACCCTGAGGATCGCCTTCCATTTCCATGCAATTTCCCTTCTCAAGCGGGAGTTCATAATCCACTTGAATCAAACCGTGTAATATGATGTATTAAGAACTATGTAATGTTATGAACGACCAATAAAAAAAAAAAAAAAAAAAAAAAAGTTGATTCCATGTGTCTTCCAATGAAGGAAAAGAGTTTCATGCAAACCCCAACTTTCAGGCTTCCACCCACTTGCATAGGGACCCCATTTTTTTTTTCAAATTCTCACACTAGCCGTGGGCTACGTCTGACTAGCAGAACAGCTTTGTTAGGCCTGGACATATTTAGGGGGAAAGATGAATGTAAAATCTACTTCTGCAGCCAAAAGCAAATATAGAGCTTACCACTGATGAAGAGGCTGCCTTCATGTTCCCTAAGCAGGCTCAAGGTCACATGGAGCCAAGCAGCTGCCATTTTGTGTGGGGAGTGCCCTCTGTGTTCCTCACATCCTGTCTCTGTCACTCAGGTACATTACTTCCTTGACCCTTGCAAGGAGTTGACAATTTCAGACTATTGGGTCTCAGAGCACATGCTCCTAACCACTCTACTCTCCTGCTTTCTATACATCTGGCTTCTCTTACAACTAAGGGAACAAGACACCATCTCCACCACTTTGTTCAAAAATGGGACTTCCAGACATGCATAAGTACCTTGAGCTCCAAAATCTTAGTAAATATGCCATCACAATTGATTCCACACATTTTTTGAATCGAACGAGAAAAAAGGGACACCAATAAGGAAATGGGGAAATCAAATAATTTAAAATGTGTTGCACATTTCTTTGGGCACTCAAATAGCTAATAAAGATCTCAGAGAACATACATTAATGAGTTTCAATTCTGATTCATCAAAGATATGTCTAAGTGATTTTTCTGATGAATTGTTCCAAATCATTCACTGAAATCAGCTTTTTAAAGTCAGACAAAAACGATTTTGTTTTTTTCTCACAAACACAAGGATGATCAAGAACCACAAATCACACCCAACAGTAACCTAAATGTATATCTGATTTAGAACAGTCTAAAGGGAACTTCTAATAATAATCTTACTTCAGTTCTTGATTGAAACTGAAATGCTTGCAAAAACCTCCAAGTCACTTACTATTTCTTGATCTGACTGCTTAATATATATAGGCCTGGAAGTAAATATTCTTTAAAATTGGAGCTATCTGAAGTAATATACCATAGATATTTGGGGCTGGGAATGTAGCTCAGTGGTAAAGTGCTTGTCTAGCATACAAGTAGGCCTTGGGTTCAATTCCCAGTGCCCCCAAATCAAACAAATAAACAAAAACCCACAAACTATAATAGCTATTTGAATTAAAATACCATATTAATATACCTGATACTGCCATATACTTATCTTTAGAAATTTGGGCATTCATGTAAACATATGTCATCTTAAGGATCTGTATTCTTGGTCACAGGATACATAATTTCAATGACCCAGGAATAAGTTCTTGGATTTGTGTTTATTTAGAGGAAGAGGAATTTTAAATATTGTATTTTCTCCAGAGAGAGTTGGTAATATTCTTGGTTACGTTTTGTTTTACCAGGATTTGGTTAAAATTAATTTGGTGAGGTTAATAGCATAGTCTGTGAAGCCAGACTGCCTTGGTTGGAATCAGATCTTACCACTTACCATTTGGTTGATCTCCAGAAAGTGGTTGAACTTCTCCACCTCTTGTTTTTTGTCTAAGTGGGATGATGCTAATATCTTCCCCCATGAAAATCAGATGAGAGCCATATGAGGTAATACACATAAAGGGCTTATAGTAGTGAGTAGCACATATTTAGGGGCTCAAAAAATGCCAACTCTTATTGAATTGACTTGCTAGGAACAAATAAAGCCCAACAAAAGAGGTGGCAGAGACAAGTTTCCAGGCTGACTTTCTTACTGCAAATGATCTTCATGACCTAAAGGAGTAAACATAGTGTTTCAATTTTGGACACTGCCAGAWGCTTTGATGTTTTTCTTCTTTGTAAAATTTCAGAACTACTTTACATTTGCCACTTATATAAGGCTTACTGATTGAATCAAGAAAAACCTCATAAGCATCAAAGTGCTAGATATCTAATAATTTTATGAATAGAGATGATTCATGTATATACATAGAATATGACTCTTACAATCAGTTTATCAATGCTTCAAATAACTTTGAGGGAATCACTTGTTATATACTAATTTATTAGAAACTAGTGATGATAACATCTTGAATAAGCAACTGTAAATTTAATCAAGGAAAGAAAGTAGGGATTTGAAGCAAATTTCTCTATGAAGTACTAAACGCTAAAGATATTAACTATGACTTTTTAAGATGGAAACAAAACTTCATTATCACAGTCAGAGAGTTTATCTGAAATGGAATGCTTATTCACACTTTCAATTTCACCATCCTAAAATGGAGTTTTTAGAAATTATATATGAATTAGCACATGAATTATTTCATCTACACTCCATGGATGATAAGAAGATTATAGAAAATCTATAAGATTGAGGTCATTTTGAGAAAACTTGTCAAATAAATAAACCCAAGCCTCAGGCAAATCAACCACTTCCCAACTTTTAGATCTTTTCTCCTCTATAATGTCTCAATTTCTTGAACTGTGCCCTGAAATCATATTAGGCAGAAAGATCAGAGGGTCACTGCAGACTCAAATTCTATTAGCTTTTAAAAAACACAACAGCAAAAGTGTGCCCTAAGTTAAAATGGTAGAGGCTAATGAGACATTTCTTGGGAATTAATCTCTGAGGACTGGGGGTGTGATAGATCACCTGCCTAAGCATGTGTTTGAGTTTGGTCCCTTGCACTGAAAAAAAAAAAAAAAAATGAAAGAAAGAAATAGACCACAGTGGCAGGAGCAATTCAGATTCATAGATTTTTTTWAAAAATTACTTTTTGGTTGTAAATGGATAGCATGCCTTTATTTTATTTATTTTTATGCAGTGCTAAGGATGGAACTGGCAAGAGTTCTGCCACTGAGTTACAGTCCCAGCCCCAAATTCATAGACCTTTACAGCCTTCTTCTTGGAGTGACACTTCTACATCATCTTGCTCACTGCTGTACCCCCAGTTCCCAGAACAGCACCTAATTGAATGGTCAATCAGGTTGATTCAATACACTCATTGAGTGAATGTATTTCTCTTCTTCTCCCAATTCCTTTACAGGTCTCAGAGGAGCCAAGTTTATATGCTTTCAAGACCGCCAGTGGCACAGTGAGTGCTTTAACTGTGGAAAGTGCGCCATCTCCTTGGTGGGTGAGGGCTTCCTGACCCAGAGCATGGAAATCTTCTGCCGAAAATGCGGTTCTGGGGTGGACACTGACATCTAGGTAGTGATGGTAGTCTTTCTCCACCAGAAATCCATTTTGTCTTTGTTCTCACTAAATCCAGAACTGAGTTGCAGTAGTRTTTTTTTTAACTTAGGTTTTAGAAAATTGGGCACAAAAAGAGCAGTTTACCAAAAGAATATTTGTTAAATCACAAAATCAGCTCACCTTGCAAAATACTGCTCTCTGCTGTTAGAAACATGGGAAAATATTTCTTCATAATTGAGTATATAACCTGTACCTAGAAGTTGTGGATATTATTACTGAAGAATGACAGTTTTCAAAACTACAGAGTAAAAAAATCAAAGAGTTAAATTGAGAGGTATAAATTAGGCTAACGTTTGTATTCTAGCTAGTGAGTTACATATAATGTGATAGATGAATGGTAGAACAAGGTTTATAAACAAAGATTGATTTGTGATGATCATACTTAAAAATTGTCATTTTTATTTTTCTTTCTCTTATTTAAAGTTCTTTTTTTATCAGTGAATATTTATTATGCAAGAGAGTGGTTTTTTAAATCATTCTTTTACTGTTCAAATGTACTGACTTTGGATTTAAGAAACAAAGCTGCAGTCTGCCCTCATACACACTGCTTCCCCAGGTTCCTCAGCCTGTTGTTACCCAGGTTTAATCAATGCAATTTAAGAACTGTGTATGTTAGGGCTCTCATATTTTGCATTGGTATCAAGGGGATCATTTCTACCTAGGAATAGCCAAAGCATGAGTTTCAACACTCTGTATTAATTGTGGGCTTTGAAAATACAATTAACAGAATGATTTAAAAAAACCACTCTCTTGCATAGTAAATATGCACTGATAAAAAATAACTTTAAGAGAAAGAAAAATGCTTACAGATTCCATAAAGTACAAGTTTATTCTTTCAAGTAAAACTAACCAGGATAATCATTCTCTCCCAAGGCAAATCTCTAAAGTAAATATATCATTAAGTCATCAATAGTGGAAATGAATTTTAGGGAAGTGATTGAGTGTTCTAGCATGACTTTTATCCAGATATCTGAAGGCATAATATAATGCATAATTAGCTCTGAGCCTCGTGCATTTTGCTTGCTAAAATTACATAGATGATTAATGGATAGGCTTAAAAGTGGGCTTTAAAGACATCTAGTTAATTGAGTCATATATAATAAATTAGAATAAAAAATAAATAAAATAAAATAAAAATTGAAAAAGAACAATTCACAGTAGAGCCGTGCTGGCTATAGATGATCCCTTCCTACTACTCCTCCCTACCTATGCTGTCCACCTTGCCCCAAGCCAACCATTCCTCAGCTCGTAAATCTGCTACATGATCAGGAGCTGCACTCCTAACTCTAAGTAGCTTCTCTATAAATAAGTCAGTATTTATTAGGCCACAAAGAAAATTTGAGTGAAAAGTCTCTCACCATATGTTGATCTTTGTATCAGACGTTAACTGATAGTGACACACCTAGCTGTCTCCAGATGATATTTTTACCACATTATTTGGGACAAATGGAAAACAGCCTGTGCTCTCCGTGGTCAGTTACTAGTTAGAGCAGCTCCTGGGTAGGGTGGAGGAAGGTTGGGTAAAAAACCCATATATATATATACTTTCAGGTTACTGCAGAGCATAAGATGTTCTGACTGAAATATAGGTTGTGGCTCATTAGAACAATGACAATAGCATCACATAAAATTCAATTAAAATTGTCATTAAGACAATTTTTAAAATGTTTTATAATGCAGGGGTATTTAAAGATGCTAACAATTCAGAGATTTGAGAGATCAGGCTCTATAGAGTATTTGAAACTACAACTGAGGTAAAATATGAGATATTTTCTCATATTCATATTGTAAAATGACAAACTATCCACGTTTTCCTACATTATATGAAATTGCAGGTGTAGAACTATCATTTGCCAATTGCTTCATTATTATTATTATTATTATTATTATTATTCCATTCAAAATATAGAATACAGGAGATGCAACATTTTCTCTGTTACTCAATTGTAGACAAACATACAACACATAATGCTTTTTTGTTAAATAATTAGTAGTATTTAGTAATTTTGCTATGTAGGTGAGTATGCATATGATCAGGCTTGCATTTAATCTCTACAATTAAAATTTACCAGATCACTTTTACATTGGGATTTTTTATCATTCTTGAATAACTATAGTTTGTATATATATTTTCACATAAAATAGTTCATATTTAAAAGGTGGCTTAGTCATCAAACGTGTTTATACATGTACTGTGTCCAAAAGTAGACCTCACACTGTTTTGCATCTGAAGTGACGACAGGGTGAATCCAGGCATGGAATTGTGGATATGCCAGATGCAGAGAATCCTCCTTTACAGCGTAGACAAAGCACCCTATAGACATAACACACATCTGCAAAACAACTAGGAAATAAGGCCTCATTAGATTGATATCCACACCAAAAAAAAAAAAAACTGTGAAAATCATATAGCTAACTTATTTGATTTATACAATAGAGAGAAAAGCTCTTTTAATTGACTTATCCAAAAATGGAATAAGCTGCCTCAGGAAACAGTGGACTGACTCCCCATGACTCCGGGTGACATCTACACAGGCAGGAAAGTTGTTAGAAGCAAATTGCATGTGCTAATAAGAAATGAATGGCTTGAAAGCAGCAGAGAGGTGGTACCAGAGCAGGGAGAAATGAGATTGCTAAAAGAGAAAGTGTCAGAGGAAGGAATAATATTAATTCTTAGGATAAAAAGTGTATATATAACAGGCCATAGAAAGTTACCAACTTTTCTCACATGGGGATGAAAAAGAAAATCATGATAGTATTTGTGGGAACTAAAGGAGGCAGGGTTCCAAGGCTTAGATTTCTTCCTACAGAGGTTCATTCATGTGGTTAGTGGCAACAAAAAATGAAAAGAGAAGATGCCCAAGATAATGCAGGCTTGGAGCTATATTTGTTAATTTTTTTGGTCAACAAATCAAAATATTTTATGTTGTCGTTTTGGGGATTAAAGATGACAAAGAAAAGCAAAAGAGAACTGTGGTTTCAATGATTATGGGGAGCATACCCAGGGGCTCAATTTTTAATTGATGAAATCATAAAATATGTTATACGAGAACCAACTAGCACCATTCATTAAGTGTAATGCAATTGTGCCACAGTCACAGGTTCAAAACTTAATCATTATAATTAAATATAT